CCATCTCTCTTTCTCTTTTTTGTATATATATATATATATATATATATATATATATATGTATATATCTTGATGTCAAACACTAACCAACATTTTACTTTTCCTTCTGTATGTTTTGGCAGTGCCCAACATTAGTCTGTCTGTGCTGAAGCCCCATTTCCTGGAGATCTTACTGGAGTCCCACATTGTTATGATCAGAGTAAGAAACATTGAGAAAATCCATCTGTGCTTAAAGAACAAGTTTTATCAGAAACCATTTATTAAAACCAAAAAAACATGTCTATTCAGGGTAACAGTGGCTTGAAACCCAAAGACAATGAGATGAACTCAAAACCCTGGCACTGGCCCATCAACTACCAGGTGCACTGAATGATTTACGCTATAAAAAATTCAAATGAAATGCATGTGTGCAATTTTTAACTTCAAATGTTCTTGGTTTATTCTTGTAAAAGGGATTGAGGTTCTCAGGAGTGAATGAGACAGAGTATCGTGTTTATCTGCTGGGGAACCCTGTAAGTCAAGTCTCATTATCCCGTCGTCGCTCTTGTCTGACCAATGCACATTAAAGCCCTCATGATTGAATACTCTTTTTCAGGTGCTCTGGTGGATGAACCTGGCCAGTTTGGGATTATATCTGATCATGGTGGCAGTGGCGTCTGTAGCCCTGCAACGAGGTTTCTCATTGGGCCAAAAAAGAATAGGTATAAATATTGATATTGATATTGATATTATATTAAAAAGATGATTTAAATGTATTGTAAATGTTCTGTACTCCACTCTGTTTCAGAGCACTCTCATGTGCTTATGAGAGGGGGAGGACTGCTTCTCCTCGGTTGGCTGCTTCACTATGCACCTTTCTATACTATGGGCCGTGTCCTCTACTATCACCACTACTTCCCTGCCATGCTCTTCAGCAGCATGCTAACAGGTATTAAATCCCAATGCATTTTACCTTCTATTCTATTCCATTAATAGAGCAGAGGTTTTCAAACTGTTAGTGAGAGTTGAAGGGGTAAGATATGAGGCAAAGATACCAGATAAGGCGAATTAAGGTACTTAATCATACTTGTTCTCAGAGTCCGAACCTTACACTTTCTGAGGATATCATTATCTCCTTTGTCCACCATGAATAAATCTCTCCATCTCTGTTTAGAAGTCAAAGAAAAAAGTCTGTTCTTTTAACTCCAGAACATTTCTGAGAAGAAGTTTTCTTTTGTATCAAATTAATCCGGCGATAGTTGTCTGTACTCTTGTGGGGACATTGCTAACAGGAACTGCTGATGACGCATTTTAATGGTGCAGGTTATCCGAAACGTAAAAAAATATAGACTAAAAAACATAAACAGGGTTGTAGCCCACGCCCATGTTTTGTCTGATAGGGTTTGAGGCTTTGAAAACCCCTTATATAGACAAAGCAGTCATGGTGGTTTTCTCGTTAATGCATTGTGTTTCTTTCTCACAGGAATTACACTAGACATCCTATTAAAAAGTGCTGACTTGCTGCTCCGCCCACCTTATTCTGATTGGTTGGAACGAGCTGGGCAGTTGGTCCTTCTGTTAACTGTTCTTTACAGGTGAGCTGACCAGTAGAGTCATTACTGTGAAGGAAAAAAATTTATTGTAGTTCATTCTTATGCTGTCATAAAAAGTTTATTATCACTATGTAATGTCTATTGCATTTAATGAGGTTTCTAGTGATTACACCATTGCTTTTAAACCCATTTTCCCTTGTTACTCTTAAAATGCCTTTGAAAAGCCCCAAAACACATTTATGCCCTCGCTTCTATCTGCTGTGGGTTGACGTGAAGATGAAGAAAAAGTCAGTGATATTAAAGTCGTAGTTTGACATTTTGAGAAATACATTTATACGCCTTCTTGCTGGCAGTCAGATGACAAGGTGGATACCACTCCAGTTTGACTCTAGAGCGAGCAGGCTTAGATTAGCTCAGATTGAAAGCACTTCCTTGACTTTGTGTAAATCACTGAAACCTATTCCCTGTCTGTTAGTTTCTACCTGTTCCATCCACTCTCCTATGGCATGACGGGTCCTCTGGCACACGAGCCGGGCAGCGCCATGGCTGGCCTGAAGTGGATGGACTCCTGGGAGTTCTAGTCAACTTTGCATGAAGACAACACTAATGATAGGATGTATAGCAACTGCTCTGAATATGAGGGACTTAAATGAATTATGTGTCTCACAGACTTGTGGTCTTAGCGTGTTTACACATTGAAATTATTTTCATAAGGTACTGACTATACACACTGTTATACTACCTGTCCAAGTATTCATGTTTCTCAATATTTCCAAGTATTGTAGTGTAAAGAAAGCTTGACAACACAGACTTGAGTCAGAATATATGAAAGCCAGAGTGTTGTGGAGTATTTGAGAATAAAGATCCAGACACATATTCTTCACCAAGCTGCCTTAACTCACAACACATCTTACATCCTGATCATAGTGTGTACTGTATGTGTCACAATAATGAGCAACAATAATAAGCTAAAGTGCCTGGAACTAGTGACAGAAAGGTTTAATGCTGTATCTCCGTACTCACCAGTTTAAAAAAACTTTTTGTTACATAGTTATAGGATGTCAGAGATATCCTTTTTTTCCGTTTGCTGTTGTCTTGATCTTAGTGTCCATTATTTTTGTATTTCATTAAGCCATAGTGCTATCCAGTACTGGCTTCTGTTTTGACACTAAGACTACTACTGACTCTCAGTGTTGTGTACATTTTAATGTGATCAATAAACTACAATATTCTTGTAATCTGTTCTTACTTATGATTATATCTTCCGTGTTTCATCTTGGTTCTACTTGTCTCACCAATATAACCAATAACCACTTAGCAACCCCTCTGAATGAATTATGGCCCTTGATCTAAAACAGAAATGTGCTAATATAGTCATGCAAAAAAATATAATACAATTTACAAATGTTTTCATCCTTGAAACAACTTTAATGGCAGTGTAAAACAAAAGCGGCCTCAAAACATTAAAAAAAAAAAAAGACCAATTCTGATTCTATTAGGTTAGGTTTTGTAATGTAGATGAAATTAATGCCATGAAACTTTACTTCTCGCTATCACTACATTATTTACAAAAAGTGGATATATGTTTTCCCATAGATAATAATATAAGTAGCCTAATTGAAAAAACACAAAAAGATAAAAAATGAGAATATAATAATTTTATGATTTTTAGAATATAATAATATATTTGATAATTTGTTCATGTGTCCAAAAAGGGGAATTGTGCTGTGAATGTTTAACGTAGGAAATGGGTGGGGTCCACGTATAAAACGTATTTTTCTACCTGTGTCTTCACCTCGATGCTCAACAATAACCCGGTTTACCGCCTGGTGGCGCGTTTGTGAAGTAAACCGCTACACGTCAACTCCGAGGACGGCTGCTGTGATTGGTCTTCGTTCGTCACGTGTTTATTCTGAAGATGGCGTCTCCAAATGGAGGTAAATTCTAATTCCTTACCCTGCTATGCCGTGTATAAATCGTAAATTTGACATTATCAAGCGCACTAAACCGTTACCGACTCCTATTCTGTGTTACACGAACACCCCGAGACGACAAAACACACATGTTAGCGCTGTATCTTTACTGTTTGGGGATGTTTTTGTCTTCCGTTGGCTAAAGGGAAGCACAGCAGACTCAGAGAGCCTGAACCTAACGTACAGCTTCACCCAAAACATCCGCTGCTGCGGTACTACATACAGGCTAAACCAGCCGTTTCTTTAATGGGGAACAGTTACACTGTTTTGTTTCACAACATCGTAGTTATTTATGTTTTACTCACGGTTGTCTTTTCTATTTTTCACGTTTCGCCTTGAACACAACGTTATTATCCCTACAGATTGTACACTCGTGTTGGATTTTTACAGTGAAGTAGTCCTATAGTGTCCACACTTGCACAGTCTAATGCGGAATACATCTGTTGTGCTATGAAGTCTTATATGGACCCTATAATGTCCAGGTCTGTAGCCACTGTCATAGAGATGTTGATTTAATTAAATGTTATAGGGTTGCAACCAACCAATGATCATTAAAGTTTAATGTGCCGATTATTTTTTTTCGATTAATCAATCAAGAGTTTATTAATTGATTAACCAATTCCAATTAATGAATTGAATCCAAGTTGGAAATGTCCTGTTTTGTCTTAACAAATGTCCAAAACCCAAAGATATTCAGTTTACGATTATAAATGACAAAGATAAGCAGCCTTTTCAGAAGCTGGAGCCAGATCATTTTTCACTTTTTTTGTTTAAAAAAAACACTGAAATGATTAATTGATTATCAAAACAGTCAGTGAGCCCATAAGTTAATCAACTTATTGTTTCTGCTTCAATACGTTTCAGTATTGAGTGATGGTTGTACTGGACTACATTATATCCAGGGGTGTTTCTTATATTCAGCCTCCCTCATGAAACACCTTTTAATGGTAGTCCAATACAACACCATCTCATTTATCCTCAGTAAACATATGCTTGAACTTACACATTTCTGACAATGCCAACAAAAACTGAACATTATCATCTCTGTGAAGGTAGACTATATGGCTGCAACAATATATTGAATTGCAATAGATTGATCAGGTGTACCTAACAAAGTGGCCAAAGTGCATATATTTAACCAGGTGACTAAACTAAATTGTACTTTCAAGAAATAGATGATGACATACAGATGGGTGACAAATTAAAGGAAATATCTGAACAAATGAGTGCAATCATAACAAATGCAGATGCCCCCATACTAGGAGCTGGTGGAGACAATGAGTTTTGTGGTATTTCTACATGTTCCAAGTGAAACATTTAAACAAGGTTGGCTTGAAAGCCTCAGTGCTTCAACAAGGCTTCATCAACCCACCGCTAATGTCCCTCACAGTCTTCAGATCTATGAGAGATTTTAGAATAATGTGATAGACAGCGTTCTCCACCATCATCACCAAAACACAAAATACCAAATGAGAGAATATCTTTTGATTGAATGTAGTTCTTCCCTCCAGCAGAGAGAGTTCAGAGACTTGGAGAAACTATGACAGGGAAGCAATGAAGCTGTTTTGGAGGCTCAAGGTGGAACAACACCTTACCAAGAGATTTTTTGTGCTTTTCCATTAATTTGTCACCCATCTGTATTTTAATTTCTAAACCATGAACATGGAGCTTTATAATTATTTATTTTGTCATTCATTATTTTGGCCACTATGATACACATTTCCCATAATAAGTTTTGTATATGCCTGTTTATGTGCTGCCATGTGACCAGTACTGCAGCTTAATGATCATTTTTATTATCAATTAATCTTTTATTAATATTTTTGATTGATTGTTTTGTCTATAGAATGTTATAAAATGGTAAAAGGAGGAAAAAAGCCTGTTATCATTTCCCACAGCCCAAGCTGTTCCGATTTTTTTGTCTGACCAACTGAAATGATTATTCGATTGGCAATTAATTATCTGCTGATCAGTTAATTGACTAATTGTTACAGCTCTATACTTGAGATAACTTGTATCAATACGACACATGTAAGGTGTATCGAAGTATGTCCAAAATAATATGTACTTTATGTTGTTGAAGTACTGACTTAAATTTTAACATTGCTTCACTAGAAATGACATTTTAGCGTTTTCATCCTAATTCCGCCACTTTTGTTGCTCAGAGTTAAACATACAACTAAAAAGTACTCAATCCACCAAAACCACCAAGAAGTGGTCATCTGTGCTCGCTTTCAGATTCTGTCTTAAATTGTGTCATTGCATTATTTACATACAGGATTTATGAATTTTCCATAGAAAATGTTAAAAACAAAAATATACTTTGTGTCATGATAGGTGACGATTTTGAGTCGTCTTTGCTGAGTTTTGAGAAGTTGGACAGAGCGTCACCAGACCTTTGGCCAGAACAGTGTAAGTTCATATTCTCCCTGCTCATGTATTATTAGTTATTATGGAATTATGTTTCATTTTGTCTGAGTCTTAATTATCCTGTAATCTCTCACACAGTGCCCGGAGTTGCAGAATTTGCTGCATCTTGTAAAAATGTGAGTTAGATTCACTGTGGCTCACTTTGATTTACAAAGTAGATGATTAAATAGCCTTGACATACTGGAATATATTAGCCTGCTGTGTAAATCTTTCATGAGTTGTCTGCTGAGACGTTTGTTGTGTCTTACATTACAGCCCATCACTAATTCACCTCCCAAGTGGATGGCTGAGCTAGAGACTGAGGACATTGAAATGTTGAAAGGTATGTACATGTATACATGTATGAAACAATTTCAGTGTACCTGCAACAGTTGGTGTTAAACAGGATGATTGTAGTGAGTGTGGACAGAAACAGCATTAAATTATAATCCTGTCAAATGGGATAACATTTTGCTAAAACTAGTTACATGTAGCTGAGAGCTTTCATTATGTGTCCTGTTATCCTTCTGTAGAGCTGGGGAGTCTGACCACAGCCAACCTGATGGAGAAGGTTAAAGGACTTCAGAACCTCGCTTACCAGCTGGGCTTAGAAGAGTGTGAGTACATGAACAACACATACACACCAATGTACGTTTAATATTAAGGCTTTGGATTTGTCCAACCTTCAGGTTTCTTGATATTAAAATGAGTTAGTCACATGTTACCACTAGATGGTGCTCATTGCCTTTCTCTATCTAGCTGGTGGATTTCTCAGCATCCCAAAGCAGGTTGACTTTTTCCACGGACATAAAAGATAATGTAGAAAACGTAACTTTGCAATTTAGAATCAGCTCTCCATTCATGTCAAACTGTATAAATAAGATGACCTTGAGCTCTTAAAAATAACAGATTTAGGTCAATCTTGTTAAATTAGAAAAGGTAAGAAACAAGGGCATGCTCACAAGAGCCCATACAACAAGTGCTCAAGCATTTGATGGATGCAAAATCTTTTTAATCCATTCCCCACTACCTCCATTGTCATAATCCTTGTGGAGTGTGGATTAGAGAGATGTAGATAAGTGCTCATATTTTCCTAAGAGAAAAATGGGTATTTATTTATCCAGTGTAAAACACAAGCAATGAAGAATTGTGGTATAGCTGCTCTCTTACTGGGGTCAGATATATAAATAAATATAAATGGCGGTTAAATCAGTCAAATTCAACCAACATATCTGTGCATGAGGGCAAAGTGATCTGATCTGAAATGTTGCAGTTGACTTCAGCCCTTTTGGCTTGTGAGGAACACACTACTTTGTAAAAACACCATAAAGACAGCCAGTACTTATCAATCAAATGAAGCCAAACAAAATGTGGAAGGGCTTTGATAAAATTTGAGAGATGCATAAGTAGGAACTTTTTAATTATCTAAAGAGATCATCAGATTTTAGTAAAGGGAGTTGATTCCAGATTGAGTGAAATGGTTTAGATTTTTGGTGATGGTATAATGCACACATATCTATACAGATAAACTATGGGAGTCAGGAAAGCCTAGAAAAGAGTAAATGCATATTAAGAGGCTACAGGAAGCATCTATAGATTGTGTAATATGTGCTGTATTTGCATAGACCACAAGTCGCATCTTAATTTTGTTGAGAACGTGTCTAATCTGCCTGACTTCTCTAAACCCAGAGAAGCATGTAATCTGGCTGGTATAAAGATGTTAGCTGTCATAGGCGCAGGACTGCAGGCTTTGCAATCATGTCATGTACCTCGGGATGACGGGACACAATGATGGTTATTATTGGTGTCGGAGCAGCCCTGTAATGGGTGCCTGTTTAATGCTCTCTGGTTTAATTTTCTCCTTTTCCTGGCTGTCAGGGGAGGCCTTGTAAATCTCGGCTACTTTTTCATCATGTTTGTGCACTCTTCACTATCCATAAACGAGACACCGCAGAGTCACGGCAGAGCGAGGGCAGGGGACAGGATTTACTGCCCCTCCCCCCTTCAACATGTGGGACCATTAAAGAGGGAGCTGGTTAATGGGCAGAGCACAATCAAGCGGTGAAAACTCACCCTCCCGACTGCAGGGAGAGCGGGGACCTGAACCAGACATTACCATTCCTCTACAGCTAGAATATACCTAAGCAGCATTAGTGCTGGTTTCTGATTTTTCTTGCAGATTGTGCACTGTTGCACATATTACTGCATATTCATGTTTGTACATATGTATTAACATAGATGTGAAGGGAGGACACAACGCCCCCTTATTGCTCCCCCCCAAGAACCCCCAATAATGGCTGTGTGACGCTGGCCCAGTCTAGTCCCACAGGGGCTTGACGCGTGCCTCTTTCTCAGGCCCCAGCTGTTACTCCGCCCCGTGATGAATGCCCCTGTCGTGGGCCGCTGAGCGTGGGCATCAAGCCCCGAGTCTCTGGGGAAAGCTCAGGACTCTGATAAGTGCTGTTATTGGAGGTAATTGAAAGCTGAGTGTTCCTTTGGGATGCACTGGAGAGCCTCGGCTACTGAGACGGCTGGTAACATGGCTGCTGGAGTTGGTGACGATGCTCTGTCACACTGGTGGGCTCAAGGCCTCTGACTACCATTTAACACTTGCGTTGTTAGGGTGTGCTGACAATAAGGAAAGGTTTTAATTAGCGACCCTGCCCGTTAATTAAGATTTTCCTCAAGTTGCAGTGTCTGTACTGTCATCATTGTTTTATCTCGAGCTTGCTTCAATGACAATTTCATCAATAACAGAAAATTACAAAAATGTGGGACCAGTGCTAAAGTCTGCAGTTGTAGAAAATGGATTTCATTGAGATTTATAAGAGTTCAAGTGACCTGTGTCTCCGTCAGTCAGACCCACAGTGGAAGCTTAATTAAAAGCCAAGAATGCCTCCCCTCCTTTAAATTGATATCAAAACATGTCAAATAAAATTCTTTAAATCATGCCTAAAAGAGGACATACACCAATATTAAAATTTCATTCCATTATTGTGGTGGGTTGAAAACCTCATGAGCTCATAACAGTAAGAAAGCTGCCACTCACATTAAAATATTGACTAGAGGCGTATACCTTTTCAAAAACTCTGGCCCACGGACTAACATAAGAGTTTTCACTGCTCTTTTCACCCAGATATAAAATATCAAACACACCAGGAGAAATATTTCATTTTTAAGTCCAGGAAAAAGAGAGAACCTCTAGGCGATATCACCATATTACAATAACAGGAAACTTTCATATCTAGATAAAAAGAGCGTCTAGGTGTATTCTGGGTGTAGGACCACCTGTTGTTCCCTTTGTAGCACCACAGAGCACCTCTCCTCCGCCGTAATGCCACCTGGCGCAGACCCTGGCTGACCCCTGTTGCACCCTCCTGTGTGAAGGTGAGACTGAAGGTCGCCCTGCCCTGACAGCTCCTAATGGGCCCGCACTCACCACCACCTCCTCCTCACCCTCAGGATCAATCTCCGGCCTATTAGAAGCACGCCGCTGCTGAATATGATTGCATTCACTGGGCCCCACTGGTGCTAATGTGCCTCCATCAATCCATCAGGACGGGCTGACCGCGGGGCGGGCGGTTATGAAGTGCCTGAGCTGACAGCCGCTGAATGAGGAACAGGGGATGCCTCCCCACCACCACCGTTACTACCCTTCCTCCTCCTCCTCCTCCTCCTCCTCACCTCTACTACTTCGCCGTGCTCGTCTTCTCACCTCTCCCCTGTGTCTCTGTGGGCTCGTAGTCACAATGAATGGCAGTGTTGTGTTTCCTTGAATGTGGCACCTTCCTTGTAAGGAAAGAGAAAGAACGATCAGGGATGGTTCAGCTTATCTTAAGAGCTTAGAAGCTCAGTCTTTATCATCCAAGGTTCAAGGTTACTGAATATTGCGTGATTAGTTCTTTCGAATTGGCTCCCTCAGTGTTGCACTTTAAATTATTAGCTGTGCGGTTTCATGATAGTGCGGCTACTCATAGTCATGGTCCATTGTTGAAAAATTGTTAGCTGTTCCATGCACATTTTGCAGCAGGGTGACATGAAGTATCTCCTTCCTCGGTGTAGCAGGTTGCAGCTGTATCTGATAGACCCTGTCCATATCTTAAGCAGGATCAGTGTTGGAGCTGTGTGAAAGAAGAGGGAGGCAGAGCTCAACACATAACAACAACCCACACACACACACACACACACACACACACACACACACACACTCAAACACCGTTCCTTAGTTCTGGCTGCCTGCCGCCTCCCTGAGCAGATCGGAAATGACACCTCATTTCCATAAAGGCATTAGGAATTCATTGGATTTTCTTTCCCAGCTAATCATAGTGCGGGTGTAAAACCTTTTAGGCTTTTTAATGAATGATTTTTGACTGATTGCCTATTAATAAGGACACCTCTTGAACAGGCATAGGCTGGGGCAGGGGTTGGGAGGTGCAGATGTGTTTGTTTTGGTGTGTGAGCGAGTGTGTGTGTGTGTCTCAGCCAGGCGAAAATGCATTGGAGAGGGAAGAGGAGGAGGAGGGGTGGGCCCTCTTGGTTGGGACATAAAGAGGAACCAGTGGCTCCCCTGGGAAATCACAGCTCGTGTCTGCATCTTAAATATCCCTGTGAAGTATCAATAAGTGGGTAATTGAATTTTGAACACAAACATGAGCGTCAGGTGTATGTGTTGCATGGCGGGGGTGTTTTGGGGAGGGGGGGGGGGCTGTGATAGGCTGAATATGTGCGCCTCCCAAGTGTTTCATTTGCGTTGTGTGTTGTGTTGTGTGTTTGTGTGTGTCATCTCCTCTGTGTCTCCCTTGTCCCCGGGGAGGAGGGCGGTGAAAGTGGATGTTAAATCCATTAAATAAAGCTTACAGCCCGTAATAGCTGAGCAGCACTCGGAGATGGGCAGTGAGGGTCAGATAAGTCCTCTTAACTCTTAATGAAAGAGAATTGGGGCAGTCACGGCCGGGGTCCAGGACTCCAGTTAACCCAGGTGGTCATCTGTCTTTGGAGCTAACAGGGGTCCAGCGGCTCACCGGGAGCGTGCCATCTAGAGAGGCGGGGGGGGGCAGGGCAGAGTGATGATTACTCTCATTTTATACTCAGGGGAGTTGTGGGGGCTGGGAGTAGGCTGTGACAATGACACCCTGCTCACTCACCACAAACGAGGGGAAAGTAAGATGTTACACTGCCGCGTTTCCTTTGCATTTACATTCGAGCCACCAGGGATTTGCCATCGTGCAACAGAAAACTGCCAAAACATTTGGGTTGTACGGCAAAATTTCAGTCAGCTTTACTAATATTGTAAAATGTGAAAGCCTAAACCGTAAAATTTTAAATAGCTTCAGGCTATAGGGCATATTTTTCTGCAGATATAAGTTAATCTGCATTGTTGTTATGTACTGCAGCCGCAGTAATCAGACACAAATGTACATCCAGAGGATTACTGTCCTGATGTGGGAGCTGGGGATACAGAAGCCAGGAACCTTTATTACACTCCTCTGTTATCTGCTCCATGGTGTCCTCTCAGTCTGATGATAACCTGACTCAGCTCTGTTTGTTTATATGTATTATGTCTGTTTATGGATGGAAATGATTTAAAATTGTTTGGATGGGAAGTGGATTGCAGTCAGGCAATACTGAATATCAAATTTAAGTAAAAAATATTACATACTATACAGTGTGACCGTGTTTACCAAAGTACCATGTTAGACTGTGATGGAATCTCAGACCAGTTCAAGCTAAATGATAATTAGATCGCAACAAATCAACAGGGCAAAGAAATGGCCCACAGAATCCATAAGGTGTCATTTAGTATGGATGGCAGCCGTAACAAGATGCTGATTAACTTAGTGCAAAATTAGTAATTGACCTTTCTAATCAACTAAACAAATCTCTAAGTCCCCCTAATCAGTATTGATCTATACTATGACAAAGCCTATGTGGGTGTGGGTGAGTGTGCAAGTGTGTGGGTGTGTGCTTTTGAGGCTCTCTAACCTCATCTGTTCATGTATATCCTACAAAAATATGCAATCACTTATGGAAAAAATAAATTCATAAAACATAGCACTGTAGCAAGCCTAGTGCAGCCAAGATGAAATCAGACATTTATTGTCTAATTTTTTCGAAGACATTTCATTGAGTATTACATTTTCCTGTTAGCATAGGCTTATTTCCCCGGAGACATTTTGACCTGTCTCAGGTGTAAATTAATAGTGGCTTAATTCCAGTTTCAGGGTCCTGGCATTGCATGTTGCTTCACTGTTACACTATCCATCCATCATCCATTCGTCCGTCCATCCATCCATCATCCATCCATCCATCCATTCATTCATTCATCCAAATGTAATGCAAATTTTAAACAAATTTCCAGATAATCAGTAAACAGGAATGTGAATTAATGCATGTTTCCATCCACTACCCTCATGAAAGTTGTGTGCATTGAGATAAACAGTTGGTGGCAATAATTCTCAAGTCAGGTGCCATTAAATCAGTGCAGAAGAAGGGGGCGCAGTGAGATGATGTAATTAAAAGAAGCGCCAGTCAAATCTCAAACAAACGACAACGAGGTGGAAATGTGATAGAATACGGCGTATATGTTTGTTTTGTGTATTAATTTGATGATGGTGTCCTCATCGCTCCACACAAATGTTTTTCATTTGTTAGTGGAGCAGAGGGTTCAGGGGATATTTAAGTCACATTCTTCACATATGTCAAGATTTATCTGCTAAATATTTAGAAAAAATATATATTTACATTCCACTTTGTTGAATTTTGCTCTACCTCAGCCAAGTCTAAAAACCTATCTCCACGTTGGTATTTTTATGTGTGAATAGAATATTGGGGGGGGAGGGTTGTGACCCAAAACCAAAACAAGAGCCCACCCTCACCCTGCCAATCACATCGCTTTCCCATATTTCCTCTTTTATAAAAAGAGCCGCACATTATAAATGGAGCAGTGCCTTACGTATAATTGGGTCTTTAATGTGATGATATCAATGCTATGAGTTTCTATCTGAGTAGCAGGCGGCTGAACTGAGCCGTAATTAATGAGACGCTCAATGGGGTGAGGGGTCTCAGGAGGAGTGGCTCAGCCATCCTTGATCTGTTTTACAGTTTGGGCTCATCAAGAGAAGGAGAAAAGGATAACGAGATAGAGAGGCATGACACCTTAGAAATCAAAAATATTAACTGCTATCTTTTACCGTTGCTAGTGTAACTGCTCCTAATAATAAAGTGACATCAATGTACTTGCGGTTTTAGGGTCATCTCAATGTAATTACTTTCCCTTGCCTAATTTTGATGGCTTCATTTCAATCTGAAGTGCCTTATGCATGTCCAGGGGTCCCCTGATGACTTTGTTTAGCGTGATTTGAAGAGACAGCAAAGTGCAAAATGAATCCATCCCATTCCAATTAGCATCATCTTTAACCTAATGACAGACACCTCAAGGTGACGTGGCCCCCACGCCCAGATGCACCATTATCATTCCGCACTGTGCAACTCATCTAAATTACTATCCGCCCCGGCTTTTTCATTAGCCGCTATGGGCAGAGGAGGCGGGGGCCCTTCACACCAGCACACAGGCAGACAGCAGTTGAGATCCTGATCACATTCTTCGTACATTGTGAAGGTGGATGACTTTCTGCTTAATGCCTGTTTGCAATCAGTCCTCACTCTCCTGCTCTGTAGTCTTATATTTGTGTGATGTACAAGGTTTGTTAGAAGCCAAATAAAGTCGCTGAGGTGATTCCAGCTTTGCAGCTCATAAAAACTGCAGTGGAGCTGAGAGCCTGATGCTCTTCTTATCTTTAACAAAGAGTAATTACTGTACCTGGATGCTGCCTCTCCAGGGTTTATGATGATGCTGCAGGAAAATCCCCACAGTCTCTATAGTGACACAACAGTTTGTCTTTGACAGAAAAGCCTCAGCAATGATTGCCCTCCCAGTGAAGACCAGTTTCACAAAGGGCCTTCAGCAGGGACGATTCAGTTTCAGGACTGTCTTTGGCACAGAGTTAACACACTTGTGGAAAACCTAGTTCACTAGATTCCACTCACACATCTTGTCAGCATGGAGTTACCTCGCTGCTTTGTTAGCTATTTTACCAATATATTTTATTGGCATCACAGATGTCATTTAAATTCTACAATGTATCTATTAATGTGATGCAAAATGCAACAGGATGTCTCATAAAGTTGTGATATCAACTAAATCTCCAACTTCAGGCATCAGCTTCCTGAGTAGGAAAAATACTAAGAAAAAGGAAGAAACGAAAGCGACAGTTGTATCCAGTGTATTACCAAAAGTAGTGGTTCCCAGTCCATTAGACCTAAGACAAAGTAAAAATACAATTCTAAACAAAGTAACGTCTAAGTTTTTTTCACTTCTCCGATTGTTTGGTTTGATTTTTTGGGTTTTTTTTTTTAAGTTTGAAGGGATAAAAAATGTTTTAACTTTGGGAAAATTAAAAATGATTCTAAAAAAATTGTTGATGTTTAGACTTAATTACTGCTTAGATGAATCATCTGTCACTTATTTTATACGTGGCTATATTCTGTAATCACAAGCTGAGGTTAATAGAGATATTCGGCTTCTATTCTGTCTCATCTTGGTGAAGTGCATACACACAAACACACACTTGAATGCAAGTGTAGGTCTGAGTGCTTGTGCCTCACGTCATTGAGACAGCAATCAAGCAAACCACAAGACTCTTTGGTAGCTACATCTCCATTTTATGTTGTTTTCCATGTCCTGAAAGAACAGATGTTTGTGTAAATTACCTCCCAGCTTGATACTGCAGATATTAAATACATGCTTTGCATAACTAAACAACAGTTCAGAAGTGTTTTGAGCTGCAGGCAAATGTTGTGTAAGACTGACAGCTTTGTTCTGATTTTACCAACTCATGAAAGATTTCTGGAATAAAGCAAACTGGAGTCTTGGTCTCTTACAAGCATAATATAATTATGCTTGTAAGAGACCAAATTATAAAGCTGGTCTCTTAACCTGTGTGGTGGTTTATCTTGAATATGTGATGTTGTGTCTTCTTGTTTTCCAGCGAGGGAAATGACCAGGGGGAAATTCCTGAACATCTTGGAGAGACCCAAGAAGTGACAAATCTTTTTTTTTTTCTTTTTTTTTTTTTTTCCTCCCCAAAGACAGGAGATTTGGTATTTCAAACCGAATCTGATATGTGCATTTAGCAATATACTCTGAATATGTTCAGACCTTCACAACAAAGTTGAAAGACTTTGCTTTCAAACCCGTAGACTGGAGCAAAATGCTCACTCACACAGCTGAGGTGTTCTCTTCAAACTCCTCAGTGCACCTGTTGTCCTCATAGATGCTTTTCCTTTTATGGAAACTTAAAATGATTTATTACTTTTCACAGAATTTCTCTGTAGCTTGTAGACCTGCCTTGATTAAATGTTCTCTATTTATTCTTATTTCTATTTTAAACATGATTTACATTTTTTGCAATTTGTGAGGTTGTATAATAAAGTTTTAAAATGGAAAGATGATTCCCTTTCGTTCATGAAGACCCCTTGAAGTGATTAAGTTTGCAGCCAAAGCAGCTCACTTTGGTGATGCAACAGTTTTCAGAGACTGTTCAACTTTTAATTAGGGCCATAACTTCATGCCTCTGCCATTCCACAAAGTGCAGCACCTCTCCGGCTGTGGACATGTAAGGAGCTCCGACGTGAGAGTACTTTCCCGGCTACCAGGGCATGTTTTCCATTTAATGAGCATTGGAAGCAGGGTCCCCTACACAAAACATTGCGTAAAAATAATATTGCTCATTGTCATCGCCGTTAATGAGAGTTGACATAATTACTAGGACCATTTCTTTTCTAATTAGCACACTTCAGCGTTGTCGGAGCTAGCGGCCAGGCAAAAAGAGAATCAGACAGGCATGCCGAATGGGAAACAAAAAGAAGTCCATCCGCCATAATTAGGTAAGACAATGCCTCGGACTGTTCTCGGCTGGAGATGTCGCTGAGGCTCTGGTCGCTCACTCCCAACAAGTTACACTTCTCCGCGGGCTGCTAATAAGCCCCTAAACGTCTTTTCCGATTCACACGGACAGAGGCCGCCATTGCCCCGGTGGCTTCACCCCCTGCCTCTCACACGGACCCTGGTTTACCCCTCCGAAAAAATATGGATTATTTACACAGTTCTCCGGCTTTCAGAAGCAGCGACCACCCCCGTGTGTGCTGCTGGAGTATATCCTGGGACAGGGAGGGAGGAATCTGGGGAGCCTTGAACGCAGCATGGCTTTCATGGGCAGGAAGATTGGGGGGGCGGGGGGGGCAGAAAGCGCGTTTAATAAAAGCTGTGTTTCGACAGTGTGCAGTCCAAATGAAAAGAAAGTTCAGCCAATCAAAAGAGGGCTACATACAACAATATGGGTGATAGAAGGGTTCATTATTTTCTAATAACATTAAATGTCCATAGGTCAAGGTTAAAAATTTCGATCAGTTAAAATAGGCTTACTAAAATTCCCATACACTTCCTAGGAACCAGGCACCCGCTGTAAAATACTTAGAAGTTTAAGTTGACGCTCACTTTGTCACCTTTCTTCTGTGGGAACAAGCAGAGTATGTGGACAGTTATGGATTGCTATTCAAAAAGGAAAAACTTTAATAATAACTTATTAACATCTATAACTGCAGATTTAATGATTTGCGTGCTTGATATAAAATTACATAAAAAAATTAAAATAAAAAATTAGTAAAGTAACCATAGCTGTCAAAAAAATATGTAATGTCCCTTTGGAATGTGGTCAAGTATAAAGTAGTAGGCTACAAAGCATGACATAGAAATGGCCTCGAGTAAAGTAAAAGTATCTCAAAAGTGTAGCCTACTTAAGTACAACACTTACATGAAGGCTGCTTATTCCTTTGGTTCCTAATTAAAAGTGGGAAATTTGCTGTACAGGCCCATTAGCAGCAAATTCCTGATAAAACGTTCATTTACAGTTTTTGTAAGCATTAACTACTGGAGGTGACCTTGCTGTCATCGGGACCGGTTGCATGTGGGACACTTGTTGATGCTGACTGATGAACATTGATCAGTCTGCTGAGCGTTGACGTGATAAGCGACCTGACATCCCCAATATGGTGTACGCACTGGTGGCTGCCTGTCACCCGCTGCCACCCTCCAGCCAAGCAGCCTCTTAAAGAAACGGGTCAGGCCCCGCAGAGCTGCTCCTCCATATGGAGAGAGAGAGAGAGAGAGAGAGAGGGAGAAAAAAAGAACAGCTCATCCATCCATCCATCTAACCATCCAGTGCGTTGCCTTGACCTCACATAGCCTCTGTGCCCCGACAAACGTCAATCCGATGTGCCCTGAGTCCTTAAATTAGCTGTCAATTAGTACAAATTAATCAACTCCTCGCCTAATTAAGCAATGCCGACGGGCAGCTTCCAAACATGCCATTGTGGAGGAGCCATGAGAAAGCTGCGGGGCTTGCAAACTCTTTCTGTAATAGGGGGAGGGGGGCGGGGGGTGAACGGGCGGGATTTACATGGCATCACATCACGCCCTGCAAGTGCTTTGGGAAAGCAGAGGCTCTGGCTGTGCTTTAGTTTTTCCCCTTACTCGGCTCTACATGTGTGCTGTCATCAAGTTCCCTGCACCCCCTTTTTCAACAGAGGATCCAGCTTGATTCAGCACAGACTGACGCAGAGCGGCAGAATAGGTTTATTGTAGAGGTTTGCAAAATAGCTGGTTAGCCTGCTTGTCTGAACGCAGATGAGTGGCCGAGTTTTGCACCACTTTTTCAAAAAAAAAGAAAAGAAAGGAAGAGACAGTGAACGCACCACTCCTAGATGAATAGAAGTTCATATCTGGGATGAAAGTGATGAGTTGAGAAAGTGTCTATGTGTTGGAGATCAGTTAATGCATTCAGCTCTGCTTCCAGTTCTGCTGTGACCTTCCTGCAAATAAACAAGTTGTCTGCTTATCACAAATGCATTCCAAGCTTTAGCAGTCGCATCAGCAGGATATGATATTTATTATAGTGGGCGGTTTTTGTTTCCGGCTGTTTATCAGTGTTTGACCTGCTGCCGACAGGCACTCCTGTTTGAAGGTTACACACTGGATAAGTTGATCACTGCTCATTCATATCTGTGCTGTTAACATAGTTTTTTGCATTAAGCCTAAAAAATGCCAACAGGAGCAGGAACAGGAAGAGAGAAGGAAGGAAGGAGGAGAGGGTTTAGGGGTTGGGGGGTGGGGGGGTGGTGGTGGTTTTTGGAGGGGGGGGGGGCAGATAAACAAAAAAATTCCAACAGCTGTTTGCTTTTTAATCTGCAGCCGTCAGATCCTGCATGTCTTTGATGGGCAACCCAATCTACACGAATGACTGAACTAAATCTTCCCTTAATCTAGAGCCTTATTAGGCAGCCTCTCTTCTGCATGTAAATCAGCATGCAGCCATTCTCGTATAGGGAATGTATTATTAAAAGCCATACAGAGAGGAGAAAGTGTGGCACTATTAACAAACAAAAAAAACCCAGCCTGTATGGATTGCATCAGGAGTGATGATAGAGTGAGAGTGGGCAGTGACTCGCCTGTAATTGACGGGTCATCCTGACTCACACCCTTCCATGTTAATAAATGACTGGATCCCAACAGGCTGATGTGTCATTAGCATATCCTAATAACATTGATTTCTTCATTAATAGAATTTCCACTAAATAGGCCCTAATTAGTTTCAACTGGCCAACCACTAATTGCAGCTGCAATATTTTTCTCCTTCTTAATCAGCAGCTCATTTCACACTGTTTGATATAAAATATGACTTTGCAGGCCGATCCATCGAGGCTCTGCACCTCTGTTTGCATAAAGTCTCAGTTGTCTCATGTTGTGCATCATGTCCTTTCGAGATTCAGTTCCCCAGCATTTCTCTTTTTGCTCTGTAACTGACCTGATATACGTGTTTATTCATTGTTGTAGTTTCCTTCATTTCCTAGTTGCATTATCACTGTGTTATCACTTTGATGATTTCTGTGTATGGAACCCATGCAAAGTAAATCTACTGGAAGTCACCTGCACCTGTGCACAAAATGGGCCAATTCTAATTATGATTCCCAAACAAAATTCATGCCAGTGTAGTAAACACTAAAATTATACCATGAGCAATGAGGAAGACAACATATCTACATCATTTTATGAGTTTTCACTTTTAGGACAAATATGTAGAATTAGCTTTATGATGGTGAGATGATTATCTTTTTCTCTTTTTTTTTTAACCCACAGCACTATCATTATCTGACTGACCCTGAAACACCAAAAAGAATGGATGGCGTTAGTCTGCATCTTTATTCTTAAACTATTAACAAATAGTTAGAGAGTTATTAAAATAATCACAACCCTAAAATAAAGATATGTTTATCTGTTTTTTCTGCAACTAAGCCACAAAAAAGAACCAGAGTCATATGCACGCGTGCACGCACACACACACACACACACACACACACACACACATAGCGTTAGGCTATAGGTTTACATCCAAAAAGCAGATGCCAACTTAAAATGCAAATGCAAAAAAATGCCACAAACTATATTCAAAATATTATTAGCCTAAATTTTTCATCAACATCATGATATCTGTTTTCTTCCATAATTTAAATAATGTTAATGTATTAGGCCTATATGACTATCAAATACCAGTCATAATTAGCCATGCAGCATATTGTTTAGATGACTTACATTTGAATTGTTTTTATTAATATTATTATTTTCATTATTATTAGGCATTAATAGTATAGTAATTGTTAATAAGAAGTCAGTTGACAATTTATTAGAGTTCCTCTTTAGCCCATTTTCTGTTTCAATTTTCCATTTCCTCCAAGGAGATGTGTCTGTATTTAATCTGCTGTGTAGCCTGGTGTGTATACTGCGCTGCTGCTGCTGCTGCTGCTGCTGCTGTGGGATTAGCGGCGCTCAGGACCGCGCAGCAGAGTGGGTCCATATCGTCCAGCTGTTGTTTTTTGGGAGGGCCTTTGATTTGCGTGTGATGAGTTTCCCATAGCATCTGGAGATCAATTATCCATTCGTGTGAGCCAGTGGTTGGGCAGAGAGATCATAGCTGTGTCTCTCTCTCTCTCTCTCTCTCTCTCTCTCTCTCACTCTCTCTCTCTCTCTCCCTCTCTGTGAACCATTCAGCGAGAGGTAATACATACTGATTTATTCTAGGAGATTGAGGTAATTTTCTAAACCTGCAACATTTCAAAGGTAAGTAAGAGGTGTGAAATAGACGATTTAATTAGGCCTGACTTCTTAACGAAAAATAATATGAGCAGTGTATCTGCAGTGAGTTATAATGGCTCGAGCATAAGGTATTTGTTACTTCTATAGATCTAAAACTATAGTTTTAATTTTTCTAATCTCTGTGTTATTTAATGTCTATAAAATGTGTAGGATTCCAGCTTTCCAGCAATTTTTTTTTGCACTGTATAGTTTTTACTTTCAGCATTTCACCTTTCTTCCTGCAGCCTGGAGCCTTGAAGACAGTCATTTCGTTCCTCCCTTTCTTTCTGTTGCCCAAATCGCTTCCTCGTTTATCCATACTGTCCTCAGGAAAATGCAGATATGTATCCGAGAGGGCGTATAATGCATCCATGATCCACAGGAATCCTGAATCCTTGCAGCTGATTGGCTGCTGGGTCCTGCCTCTTGTTGGGATGGACCTGTTGGATAAAAGGACCATTTTCTAAAGGACTCTTGTGTGTTAGACAGAAGATCAGGCACTGGGGACCATCCTGTGAGACGCTAAAATAAGAAATAGGCCTTTTCAAGTAGCATCGAAGACACCATGACGGGGAAGCAAGGCGCCGTGCTGTCGGAAAGTTTAAATTTGTCGGAGAAAACCTCTCTGGGTGCTAATGGAGGGAGTAACAGCCTCCAGCCGAAGAGCAGCGCGACCCATCCGCCGCCCAGGTGCACCGGCTTTGGCATCCAGGAGATACTGGGGCTCAATAAAGAGCCGTCCGCGGCCCCGAGGAGCCCTCTGGGCACGCTGCCGGCCGGGGCTCACCTCATCGCCGCCAGGTCCGTGCTGGGCCCCGCCGGCGTGGGTATGGGTGTCGGGATGGGATTACTCGGCCCTGGTGGAATTCCGTCGTTTTACAGCCAGCCAGCGTTTCTGGAGACTGTGCTGTCGGACGCACAGGATGTTCACCTGCAGCCCCACAGCAGGTCCGTGGGGCCGCTGGACACCAGCCAGTCAGCCAGCTCAGGTGAGCTTATCACTGATCATAATAAATATCACACTGCAACACAATTCACGACATATTTCCAGCCTGGGCTACAGTGCATTTATTATTGTTATTTTTTATTATTATTATTATTATTATTATTATTATTATTATTATTATTATTATTATTATTATTATCATTAGTAGTAGTAGTAGAAGTGGTAGTAGTAGTAGTAGTAGTAATAATATTGTTATTATTATTATTTATTTTGTGTGATATTAAATTAAAAATGAGTGCTGTGTCAGTGTCAGCAGTTTGCATTTATTATGACCATTTGAAAATGTCTATTAGCTTTCATTCTCTTCTGTAATTTCTTTATTATCTTTTTTTTTCAAACCAGACTCCGAGGATTTATCTTCAAATGAACGAAAACTCTCAAAGTCATCTGTAAATCAGAGCAAGAAACGCAAGAAACGACGTCACCGGTTAGTGAATATTTCTTTTTATTAGGCTAATAATATTTATTTTAGAGAGGATAAATTCAGTGAAATTCATGCAGGACATGTTTTTTTCCTTGAGATTAAATGAGTAATGTTTTACAGGGATATACCCTCATCAAAATACAGTAGTAATTATTCTGTTTTTTGTGTTTTTATGTAGCCTTATTGATACAGGAAATAAACCAGTCAATTACTGATAAGAATTTACTACACATCGGCCACAGATTGCTCGTATTTTCCCCCATTATTGTCATCCAGGATTGAAAGAGGTCGTCTTAAATGTTAATCTTCATTCATTATACCAACACAAATGGATTTATTGAAAGAGCTCATGTATTAAAATTTGAGATTATCAGCCTTTTGAAATTTTCTGCGTTGTTGACATTTGCCTTTTTTATTCCTCGTTGTCTTTTCAATCACAATAATTCTCCTTTCACTCAGTTTAAATGATAGAGCACGAAATATACACATATAGCCTATATTTCTGCAGGGTTTTCTCTGCAACATATATTTTGTTAAACCAGGTCATACATTTCATATGATAACCCTTTTGCACAGGACCATATTCACCTCATATCAGCTGGAGGAGCTGGAAAAGGCCTTTAATGAAGCGCACTACCCGGATGTTTATGCCCGAGAGATGCTGGCCATGAAAACAGAACTACCTGAGGACAGGATACAGGTAAATATCTGCTTTACCTTCCTGTGTATTTTTTCTTTATGATATAATAATAATACATTTTTTGAAAGTTATTTTTTTCTCTGGTGTTTGAAAAATGGTGCATCCTGCTTTTGGATCCCTGATTATTTTTTTTAATCATTGACACTTTTTATTGATATAAGTGGGTGTGTTAGATTTGTTTGGGTTCATTTTCCTTAAATCGAGTCTTTAATGTATTAATTAGATATAGCCTTTATGGTTCACTTTCACTCATAAATTCATTTTAAATGTCTCAGATACATTCTTATAAATCTCAGGGTCTTAGGAGGCACTACTTTTTGTCAGGTTTCCTATAAAAATGCTAGACATTTGAAAGAAATAAGATTTTCTCTCTTTTTCATTTTATTTTGGTCTATAGTATGAATAACAAAATATTCAAATTGTGCCTTAAAATAGTTTTCAAAAAATTCAAAAAGCTTATATTTTCTCTGAGATGCTCTCAGCCAATTATATGTCCTAAATAAACCTGGCTAATAAAAGCCAAATAAAGGCACTTATATGATAAATTTAAAGCTTAGTGTCTTGTATTGCTAAAAAGATGGAATTATATTTTTGACACTGCACATTGCAACACATACCAGAAGTGTCAGACTATTCTTGTAATAAGCAACAGTGTCTTCAAATGAGAGCAGAATTCATATTTTCTCTTTAATTAGAACCCTAATTAATTCGTGTGAATATTCCAATTGTTTGCCTTATGAATATGCACCTGTAAGGGCAGATGCAGCTTCCTCATCCTTCACTATTCCATCAGTGCTAATAACCTGCTGTAATATTTGAGTAGAGGCCGCCAGCTGCCTCTCATGCTGCTCTAATGTTAAAGGGGAGATAGGCTAACCCGCCCCACCCCCCACCCACCACCGGCGAATCGATCAGTGCTGCCCCTCTGTTCCTGAACAAAGACTGCTCTCCTCCAGCATCCTCGCCAGGACACATAATCTCTCATCAGGCGCAGTAGTTGGATGTGAAAACAATTTGTTCTCGGAGAAGAAGCCGCTAACGACCTAATCAAGCTATCAAGGCGGAAGAAGATTGCAGTGTGACCTGGACCATCCATCTGCCGGGGTGCCTTTTAATCTCATTCTCATTACGGGCTGCAACAGTACAGCCGCGAATAAATAATAAAAGGAAATAAATAAATAAGCCCAGAGCCTGCTCCTATACTAAATAAAATTAACACCCAATTTTCTCATTGAGTGTAATTAGTTAAATCAGACGAGCTCAGGAGGCTGGCTGCTGCTGCTGCTGCTGCTGCAGAGACGCAGGGAGTTCAAATGAAATAACTACATTGAATTTATTAGCACGGGTCAATAGCGCTGCTCCCCCGAGTCCCGGTAGTTTAATTTCCCGTGATATTTGCCCGCCTGCCCACCATCGATTGGGCCTGAAATTAACTTATTTTTCAATCAGCCTCGGCGTGCCCCAGGGTCGCTCCTCCTAGCAGCTTCCACACTGGCTTCTTTTGAGGGGCAGAGAAGCAATTTCTCATAAAAAAAAAAAAAAAAGAAAAAAACTATCTTGTATGAAATAAGGGTTATCATCAGAATTACCAGGAAAAAAAAAAGCTTGAAAACGGTTTGGTCGTTTTCAATTTAATATCTGTCTCCTGACTTGAATCTTCTCTGCGGGCCCCTCCTCTCCTCATAGAGCCATCAGAGGGGCCTAAGTAGAGTGTTTAACAGTCCTGTGTTGTGCTATACAATCAATTTGGCCTCTCTCTGAGCTGACAGATAGCCTGCAGGGCCTTAAGCAGCTGTTGGCTGTGGCCAAGTGGAGTGTCTTGATGTGTCAAACCATCTATAATGCCACCACAGGTAGCTGGAGATGAGCTCTGACAGGAGGCAGAGATCCTTCACACCTGTAGCTGGACGTTATGGGAAATCAATGGACTGAATCAAAACGGAGCAACAGTTATGTTAAGTTAATCTGAATCACACTTTGATTTCTGACTAATTCAGGTTTAGAATAACTTTAGAAATTGAATTTTCATCAACAAATGAAATAAATACTTCAGGACCACTTCCTTATAGGGCACTTTTGACAAAAAAGAGGCTTAAATCATGGGCTGATTGGTCTGTTCCCTCACTTACCTTCTGGAAAATGGCCGCAAAGATTTTGACCCTTTATTAACAAATTATTGAGTATTTATTAATGGATTGCTAACATTTATGAATGCACCATTATCAATCAGAGAAGATAAACACCAGCCAAATTGATTATCACAATTACTGATATCTTATAAATTGTGAGTGAAGCATTGGCCGTATCATTTATTAATGATTAATAAAGCCAGAACTTCTTTAGGGTACTAATTGTCGCATTTAACGCATAAGGAAATACAAATGACAAGCTGCAACTGGATTGGACACAAAAATGTAATTTACACATTATCTACTCTCTTCTCTCTCTCTTCTCCAAGAATCACCATCAGTCTTACGTTTCCCTTCATTGCAGGTTAAGGGTCACCAGTCTCCACCAGTCTTAGTTCCATCTCAGCCACATCCAGAACTACTGAAAAAAAGAGGGTGATCATTATAGAAATCATATTTTAAAAGTGGGCCAAAAGTGTTTTTAGCCAAACTGATCTGTTTAATGCAACTGATCCAGTATTTACATCCACATATTTCCCTCACTGTAAGCTGTAATGCTGCTTCTATATAAGTTCTAGCCAATAGCCGATAATTACCTAATTGTTGTATTCAGCTGCCGCAGCCTAATATCTGAGCCATTTGTTGTCCCACCACAGGTATGGTTTCAGAACCGCAGAGCTAAGTGGAGGAAGAGGGAGAAATGCTGGGGCCGCAGCACTGTGATGGCTGAGTATGGGCTGTATGGAGCCATGGTGAGGCATTCAATCCCTCTGCCGGAGTCCATCCTCAAGTCTGCCAAGGATGGCATCATGGAGTCCTGCGCCCCCTGGCTGCTCGGTGAGGCTGATGTCTCCACGCGATTTCTCATTTTTGTTTTCAGCTGTTCTGTTTTTGGATTTTGACCGTTTTCGTAGGTGTAGACAGTATTTCAACCCGAAAATCTTCTCTGTGTGGCTGCTTGAAAGTTCTTCACAAATTATAATAATTTCTACACCAGTGGCAGATGTGTTGTTTTCACTGACATATGACTGATGTCACTAATGTCTTTTCTGTGTCATTTGCTGAGCATGAGCCTTTAAAGGAAAAAAATATAGCACAGACTCTGTATGACATAAAATATTTTCATCCTCTACATTGGCCATGATTTGCCCTTGTCCATTCAGACATTATTTTCTAAACCAGAACTATTTTTGCTTGCTATTTTCAGTCCAAGATGGCTTACCAATCAACAGACGCAATTCTAAATCTGAATACCCGCAACTCTTTGCAGGGATGCACAAAAAGTCCATGGAGGCAGCTGTTCCCCCGCCAACAGGAAAGTGCGACGCTCCCCAGCAGCCCAGCTCTCAGAGGGCAGAAGACGCTGAGGCGGAGGAAAAGAGGTCAGAAGGCAAGTCCACCATTTCTAAAGAGGAACTGAGAGAGAACAGCATTGCTGCACTCAGGGCCAAGGCACAGGAGCACAGTGCCAAAGTGCTGGGGACGGTTTCTCATGACAGACTGCAGGAGGGCAAACAGGAGAGACAGGCGGCCGAGGAGAAAGCCAGTGATCCCCTGAGTCCAGCAGAGGAGGAGAAAAGCCCATAGAGACTGAGGACTTTTATTCTCCTGGGTGAATGCAGTGGCCTGGCTGCTTTCAGCATGTGTCCGGACTTACCTGACATAAACACACTGTCCTGCAGGTTTTCATCCTTCATCGACTTCTCTAAACTGGCCTGCATCTGGACGTCTCTGAGAGGAAAACTCATCTGCTGCACAGAAGCTGCAAATGCACTTTTTCTGATTTACTTCCAAACTTACAGTTTACTTACAGTTGTTGTTTCTTATGCATAGTAGAGTGGGAGTAAAGTGTTAATAACGGTGTATATATAGAGCCAGATGAGTCAAATTTTATCCAGTATAACATTTATAATATTTCAATTAGGACTACCAATGACCAATGAGCAGTCAGTGGCTGAAGGTCTACATTTCATCCTTGACATTCATTTTAATGTTGCTTGTACAGTTAGTAAATGGTGACATTTGAAATAAGAACCATCCCACCGACAGTACTCTTTTAAGAGAAAGAAAGTAAATGTTGTCCTATATCGCGCTGTATATAATTGATATATTAATCTCTCTCAATAAGGCACAATTTTAAATATGTTTTCTTGTAGTATTAAAGAAAATGTTTGTGTTTTCATTTCAAAATGTGTATAACTCAAAATACAAAGCATAAAAATAGAAATAGCCTTTTATTAAATGTGGCTTTTTGGTGTCTATTTATTTTACTTTCCTTTCAAACCTGCAACAAATGATTTGATTGTCAGAGCATTATTGTGACTCTTAACTGGCATGAAGTTGCCCCCCGTTGTTGGAGTAGCTACTTGTTGTCACTTGATGCTCTGCTGGCCGGGCTCATTAGGAGACAGTCCCCGGCTGCATGCTTGGGTTAGTCCCTATAATCCGTCGCAGTTGAGAGCCTTCAATTTCAGATTAAACTAGGGGACCGGTGCTTTTGGGATGGGAGAAAGAGTGACAGCCACCCAACCCCCTCCCCACATCCTGCTGGATGACCTCAGCCTGATTTCAAATCAGTTTAATAGATGCTATTACCAGGCAACACTCAAGCTGTTTCATCCTCTTATCTAAATACTTAGCCAAAGTCTAACAGCTTTATTTGCTGGCAATCTTCTTTCTCCCCAGGCTGTTCATAAAACTTTGTATCAGGCCACTTGAACAACACATCTACGTGTTCGCATTAGCCGTAATCCATATAAGATTTCACACTTCATCCTCAGTTAGCTATTAGGACGTCCTAATGAGTTGAACAACTGAGATCTTTTCCAATTAAACAGGCAGCAATTTCAAGGGGGCAAGGGACAGTGATTATCAGTATACTGCTGCATGTCTCCACACTGAGTGGCTCAGATTGGAACCATAATGTCACCAAATGGAGAACAGGTTGCTAATTACATTGTTGACAGAGATAAGCATACACACAATAATTAATGGTGTTAGGAAATGCATTGGAGTGTTTCAGGGTAATAAATGATGATCTGAACCAGGGAATAACCCTGATTCGTGTATTTTGAAGTGTAAATCTAAGAAAATTTCTTTTTACACTGAAACCTGAAGAAAAATGACACATGAAAGCACTCAACAAACCATGCATCTTCATCTGTTAAAACAAATACACTTGTGTGGTTCTATGTTGAGGTCAGAACATAAAATCAGCTACAGAACAGTTTCCAGAGCAGACATGATATAATGTTTCAGGTAGACTTCAGTTGAAAAAGTGTCACCACACTGGGCCGTAATTGAACCTGGCATCACTCTTGGTTGAAGGCTAATCTCATTGTTCTTCTTGTTCACCATTCTGCAGCTTAACTGCTGAGGCAATGTTCACTTTCACCAAATGAGAGAGATATCTCTAAATGATCCCCAGCTTAAAGCCATGCTAGCAGTATGGCTTCAAGGATGGCAATGTTGATCGCTCTACCACTTTGGTCAAGACTGAAATATCTCAGCAACTATTGTATGGATTGCCATGATATTTGATAGTAATATTCATGCTTCTCAGAGGATGCCGCTAACTAAGCTAGCTGACTTTGACACTCCTCTGGCTTTATCTCTATCTTTTTAGTGAAATTACTTGACATCTGTTGAATGGTTTGCCAAGAAATTTGATGCACACATTCAATTTCTACTCAGGATGGACTGTAATAATTTAGGTGATTCCTTTAGTTTTCATCTTGCACCATCAACAGGTCCACTCTTTTTTATTTGTCCAATACTTTGGTTTATGACCAAATAGCTGCAAAAACTAATGACATTCCCATCAGCCTCAGCTGTACTTTGCGTTTAGTGCTAATTAGCGAATATTAGCATGCTAATGCACAAAAGTAAGATGGTAAACAAATAAAGATTATACCTGCATGTCACCATTAGCGTTGTGAGCAAGTTAACACACTGATGTTAGCATTTAGCTCAAAGCACAGCTGTGTCGAGCAGCTAGCAGGGCTGTAGACTCAGTTATACCTAGACCTTTAAGACCAACCTGACCCTAACTTGACTTTTTTTTGGCCTTCAACAACGCCATGACTTCATTAAAACTTAAAAACGATAACTTGTAAAGAATGATTTGCCTTCAGCCATTTCCAAAAGTATCTTTAAATCCACACAAGTTAGAACATTTTGGTCTAGTTTTAAATTTCAGGAGAGTTATGAGCACGCTCTAATGCTGGAAACAAACATCAAATGAAATGTAATTTTCCTCATCCCCCTTAGAGACGAAGTTCCCCATAGAGCCCAATAACCATTTGAAGCTGAGTGAGTAAAATGGTTTGCAACAGACCGAGCCCTCACCTCCACAGACCCTCAGTCCAGTACAGTTATTGAGGCCAAGACATATACAGAGTGAGGATTATTCCGCTAAAGTGCAAAGCTATTTAATCCTCTGAGAGTGGAATAGAAGGTTGTGATAGATCAGATTTGCTGAAGATCAAGCTGTTTACATTAGATATGAGGAGGTAATTCACAGTATCCCTTATGATGGACAGTCTGCTTGTTGAAGACCATCATAAGATCATCTCAATCCATGCAAAGTGAGATCAGAGGGAGGTTTATGGAAAGATTTCCACTAATGCAATATTAACATTCAATTTCTTTTTGATGGGGTTACCAGCAATATGATTTCATTTCATTGGTGAGATAAAGTGCCTGCAGATCATTTTGGGAAGGCTCTTGGGTCTGGTTGCATGCTAGGTTGAGATGAAACACAAGATGTAGTCAGAGTGAAGAGTATTGAAATGTGGTGTTGTTCTGCCCTCTGCTGCACAGAGTCATTAGTACAACTAAAGTCAGCAGCCTGTTATTCAAGCTGAATGCCTCAAAATATTCAATAAAATATGAAGAGCATAATGGTAGACTATCAGTTATATTTACTTTACAGATCTATTTTTAGAAATTAGTGCATAAATACAATGAATATAATATGTTCAAATACCAATGTACACCCATGAGTGAATGAACTGAACCCAAATGCTTTAATTCAGAAACTATTGAAACAAAACCACCACAAGAGAAGAACTGAACTAAATATATAATATGATATGTGGATATTAAATATCCATTCCTCTCAGTTAAAAGTAATCTGTTGTTTGCACACAAATGTGTAGATACATCATATAAAGATATACATATTATTCCATAAGCATGTGAGTTATTATGTACTATGGTGTGTGTGTGTGTGTGTGTGTGTGTGTGTGTGTACTTATGAAATGTTGTATTTGCATACAGTGCACAAACAAAGCTAAAGCATGTTTATACACACCAACATTCATAATGTGTCCATTTAAGTACAACATTTGACACGGTCAATCATAGTATCCTCCTACATCGAGTAGAAACATGGGTATAGGCAACAAGGCCTCGGCTCATAGGGTAGGTATTCTCTTATCAGATTACACTGCCACTTTACCACCTTTTGCCGATGACATTATATTATGTATGCCTCTAAAGCCCACAGATCCTAGCAGCCTTTAACTCTTACTTCTTGCCTGTCAGATATTAAATCCTGGATGTTCCAAAATTCTCACAAAATTAATGATGATGAAACTGAGTTAATTCTGTTTGTTTATAGTCTTCACTTCTTATATCCTCAGGCTCTTTGGGCTTCTCTTTTATCTGGGTTATTTTTCTGTGAAGCACTTTGTAACTTTGTTAAGAAAAGTGTTATATAAATAAATGTATGTCATTATTATTATATCATATTCCAATACATTACAATACAATACATAGTATACATTTATTTATATAGACATATTTACCTACATGTGTGACTGCTTAATGCATCATTCTTTTTCATTCTTTTAATAGTATATGGGATTTCTCTTCATTTCTTTTGATGTTGTTAATATAGAAATGTATTCTTTCACAAAAATATAATATGTGTAACATTAAGAACTCTCTTTGAGTGCCCTGTCTCATCACTGGAACCACAGTGCATTATTTTAGCCACATGGTGGCAGCCTTGAACTTTATTCCAAATCAGATCTCTTATCATCCTGATGTACATGTGAATTAAATTACAAGTTCACAATCACATATTGGACAGTCAATATACACTGTCAATATACATATTCAATGTACATCTTGACACTGATTCATATCTGTCAGGTGGAAAAAAAAAGGGGGGGTGGTCTTATATTTCAAGCTTGTGCGCAGACATGATATGATATCTTGATCAGTATTTGTCTTCTCTTGTCACTCTCCTGGTGCTCTCAGCGATGAGGCTGTCTGCTGCAGGTTAATGGAGGCGGGATTGATACTGCGGCTAAATGATCTGTCCTGGCTGGGGGCTGATTTCATCTCCAGGGTTCATCCTTCCAGAGCCATTCTGGGTTGATCACACACATCCGACCAGCTCTCTTTGACACTTCACTGGATAGGAATCATCTCAGTGCATCAGTATTCTGAGTTTGTGTGGTAAATTATTGCTCTATTTGTGTAATAATAATGCTAATTTAGCCCCACAAGCCTTTTGATTAGGCTGCTGATTGAAGTCTGCTGTTGATGTCTGTGGCTTATTGAATGCTACTTTATTC